TGGCAGAGATGGTCTTCCTCTGAGGGACTGGCATTCAAAACAAATCACCACTGCTACAGTGTCCGGATCACCCGACACAGATTTTAGCAAACATTGTTTGCGGGATTCTCTCCGGCAAATCAAGACCTGGGCGCCCCGCGGAAATAGTTCGAAATGGGTTTTGTTCTAGTGCGCCAAAACAGAAACACGTGATCTGAAAGCCAGACTTCTTTAAACTACGTTAGCATGTTGCTTGTTTTCGAGCTAACGGTTAAACATCGACGGGCTTCCCCAGCGGCCTGGTTGGAAACAGCGGCGGATATAGAAACGCCAGCAACATCACGCACAGAGTTATGGGAAACGTATAACTTGACACCGCCAGCTGCAAACGTTAATACATGGTACACCATAGGGTTTGAAATAGACAGTGGAAGCCAAAACGTTCAAGCCAATGTGTGCGAAACGCGTGTTAAAACGTTTCGAAAAATCACGTAAAACATCTTTTCGGTAAAATTACACACGGATTGCATCAGAGCGCCTCGGGCGCGATATTCTTGTTTCGGACTGCAACTAACTTGCGGAGGTTGTCCAATTTCCTCTGGGCCTGCGCGCAACGGATTGAACAAGCAAACATTTGGATTCCGACAATGGCCTCGACTACCCAGGATGCCGAATTTTATTCCTGAAACAAAAACTTACACGCGGACGAAAATTCAACAAACTACCAAAGCGCCTAAACAATACTACGCCTTTTGTACCACCCGCAGCGCACATGAAACTCACAATTCTGCTAGGCACGTGCCCCCACGCACAAACTGATCAGCGCCCCATCACACCCCTTCTCCCAACCCACGCACAGGCCCAGAACGATGTTTTTTTTTGCCGCTCCCAAAGAAATTCCAATCCATTGCCCTGAAACGCGCGCAGACTACCCAGTGCTCGTTTCGATTATATAGATATGTGCCAAAAGACACCCGAGCGAACAGCATGATAGCACGATCTCGAATTCTGTGTGGTAGGACCAGACCAACGACATCACCAGGAACGCACAGACACACATGCTGATTGATGCACCGCCCGACGTTTGTCATGCCTTTAGATGTCAGACAGGAGCGCGCAGTACCTCCTAAGGTCGCAGCGCGTGCGTTCGAAAGCACGTCGCCAAACAAAAGCCATTCAACAACAAACGCAAACGTTACCGAACAAGCGCTGAAGAGATGATATCGCCATAATCGCGGCAGTCGCGCGAATTGCCCCGCCGCCCACCAGCGCAGACATGCGCCAGCAGTTGCTAAACGTTTCGCGCTACGTTACACGCGCATGAACGCCACCACGCCGCGCGCGCAACGAATTGTGCAACTGTCAACCCCTGGGCGCGATTGTGGCTTACGCACTGCGCGCGCCCCCGAATGATCACGCAGCATAGCCCAGCCAACGCTTCTCAAGCTTCATCCGCCCACCAAGACCTTGGCCGCCCAAGCTGCTACGCTGGGGCGGCGCGTTCGAGAGGCGCCCAGAAGCGCGCGCCTCCTGCGGCGCGCTCAAGCGCGCGACTGAACGCGCATAGGGCCAGCCAGTTTGTTACAGGCGCGCGACCCTCGACAAATCCAAGAAGCGCCCTAGTGCGCCGATTCGAACTGCTCGCGCGCTCATGCCATTGAGCGCCCAGGGCCGCGCGCGAGCGACCTTGCCCCCTGCGGGCGCCCATCCGAGCGCGCGACCTCGGGGGCGCCCGCGTCGAGCGCCCACCGCGCGCGCAGAGGCAACCGCGCCTGCAGGCGCGGTTGCGCGCGAAAGCACGCTGCCTATCTTTTCTTAGCCTTAGTCGCGCGCGCAGTCGCCCCAGCGCGCTCGAAATGCATCCTGGGCGCGCGCGCAAGCTTGCGCGCCGCTGAATGCGCGATAAAAACGCACCGCCGCTCGCCCGAGCGCGCGCGCCATAGAGCGCGCGCGAGATCGCTCAAGAGCGCGCGCCCCCGCGCGCGCCGAGGAGCGCGCCGAACTGCCGCCGTCCACGCGCGCGCTCGAATGCGCCCGTGCCAGAAGGCGCGGCCCCAGCCTGCGCGCTCCGCGCGCGCCCCATTCGAGCCCACAACAACGCGCGGCCCCTGCTGGCAAGCTGGCGGCGCCCTGATACGTCCGAGCGCGCGCGCCCGCAGAAGAACGCTGACGCCGCAATATAGCGCGCGTCTGCGCGCAATTGCACTCGGGGCCGAATGGCAGCCGCAGACGCGCTCGCCCGATTGACGCGCGCCATGGCATCGCAGAAAGGTGGGCGCGCTTGGAAGCTCGACGCGCCGCGCGCGCAACGGAGCTTTTCTTGCCAGATGCACAAAGGCGCACGCCCCTGTGCGCCCGCCATCCAGGAGCGCCGCTGATCGGTTGAACGCATGCAAGCGATGCTGAACCCCCAAAACTAATGGTGAAACCCAAATGTAAAAATTCAGTCTCTGATCGGAAGACGGGATCATCCCAATGTGGGCATGCCATACGAAATACACAATGCAAAGCGCCAGCGCGCGCGCACGCGCGCCAACGCACGCGCATCGGCGCTCTGTAGTGTACACAATAGAAAAGTCGACGCGTCCGTCGGCCTCCTTAAAGAGCCACAGAAATTTTAAATTCAGTTTTGGAAATTCCATGTCGGCTTTTCTATTGTGGACACTACAAAATCAACGCGCGCGCGCCGCTGATAGGTTTAACGCATAGGAGCGATGTTGAACCCCAAACCGAATGGCGAACACCCAATGTAAAAATTCATTCTCTGATCGGAAGACGGGATCACCACAATGTGGCTATAAGATACGAGATACACAATGCGAAGCGCCAGCGCGCGCGTACGCGCGCCAACGCGCGCGCGTCGGAGTTCTGTATCGCCCACAATAGAACAGTCCACGCGCCCGTCGGCCTCCTTAAAGAGCCACAGAAATTTTAAATTCAGTTTTGGGAATTCCACGTCGGCTTTTCTATTGTGGGCACTACAAAACTCTTCAACGCGCGCGCGCGCACGCGGCTGCAGCGCGCCGCTGATAGGTGTAACGCATGGGGTGCGATGTCGGGCTCCCAAACCCAAAAGTTAAACCCCAATGTGGAACTTCATTCTCTGATCGGAAGGTAGAATCATTGCAATGTGGCTATAACGATGCGAAACGCACAATGCGAAGCCACCAGCGCGCGCGCCAACGCGCGCGCATCTGCGTTCTGCATCGTCCACAATAGAAGAGCCAACGCGCCCGTCTGCCTCCATGAAGGGCAAGAGACATCTTGAATTCAGGCTTGGGAATTACATGTCGGCTTTCCTATTGATTGTGGACAACACAAAACTCCTCAACGCGCGCGCAAGCCTACGCGCGCGCGTGCACGCGGCGGCTGCGCGCCGCTGGTAGGTTTAATGCATGGGAGCGATGTTGAACCCCCCAAACCCAATGGTGAAATCCCAATGTGAAAATGCATTCTCTGATCGGAAGACGACCATCCCAGTGCAATGTGGGCATGCCGTACGAATTACACGATGCGAAGCGCCAGCGCGCGCGCACGCGCGCCAACGCGCGCGCATCGGCGTTCTCTAATGTACATGACAGAAAAGTTGACGCGCCCGTCGGCCTCCTTAAAGTGCCACAGAAACTTTGAGTTCATTCTTGTGAATTACATGTCCGCCTGTCTATTGTGGGCAGTACAGAACTCCCCAACGCGCGCCGACGCGCGCGCGGCGGCTGCGCGCCGTTGGCACGTTTAATGCATGGGGGCGATGTTGAGCCACCACATAAAACCAACACTAAAAAAGCCCAATGTAAACATGCATTCTCTGATCGGAAGACGGGGCCATCCCAATGTGGACATGCGATACGAAATGCGCAATGCGGAGCGCCATCGCGCGCGCGTGCGCGCGCATACGCGCGCGCATCGGCGTTCTGCATCACCCACGGCAATAGAAAAGCCGACGCGTCCGTCGGCCTCCTATAAGAGACACAGAAATTTGAAATTCAGTTTTGGGAATTTCATGTCGGCTTTCGTATTGTGGACCATACAGAACTCCTCAACGCGCGCGCGTGTACTCGCGCGCGCACACGTCGGCTGCGCGCCACTGATGGTTTAATGCATGGGAGCGGTGTTAAACGCCCAGACAAATTGTGAAAAACCAACGTAAAAATTCATTGTCTGGTCGGAAGACGAGATCATCACAATCTGGGTATGCGATACGAGATGCACAAGGCGAAGCGCCAGCGCGCGCGCATCGGAGCTCTGTATTGCCCACAATATAAAGCCGACGCGCCCGTCGGCCTCCTTGTAGAGCAAGAGAAAAATTAAATTTAGTTTTTCACAATTTCATGTCAGCTTTTCTATTGTGGACAATGCAGACCTCCTCAACGCGCGCGCGCGTACGCGCGCGCGATCGCGGCGGCTGCGCGCCGCTAATGGTTTACTCCATAATGGGAGCGATGTTAAACCCCCAAGCCCAATGGCGAACACCCAATGTAAACATCATTCTCTGATCGGAAGATGGTATCATCCCAATGTGGGTATACGATGCGAAATACAGGGTTGGTTCAATGCACGGGAGCGATAGGTTTAACACATGGGAGCGATGCTGATATGTTACAATGCTTAATGCATGGAGGCGATGTTGCACCCCAAACGGCGAAAACCAAATGTGAACACAAACCCCTGGCCGGAAGACGGTATCATCCCAATGTGGGCATACGATGCGTCATGCATGAAAGGTTTTTCCGCACGGGGGCGAAAGGCTTAATTCATCCCAACGCACGCAACTGGTAGGTTCAACGCATGTGAGCGATGTTGAACTCTTACACCCAAAATTGAAAACCCAATGTTAAAGATCATTCAGAATGATCTTTAACATTGGGTTTTCAATTTTGGGCATGCGGTGCGAAATGCACAGTGCGACCTCGGTTTTGTCGCAGACCTCGGTTGCAGCACCGCTCGCAGTTTCCGCTCCAGAGGCAAGCCGCTGCTTGATTGCGCGTGGGGGAGACTCTGGGCCTTCGCCGAAGCCATTTTGGCCCGAGCCGATGTCCAGCCACGAGCAGTGGCTCCTGGACTTGGCTAGCAAATACGATCATGATTGCATACTCGAACTGTGCCGTTTCAAAGCCAAGCGGCTTAAGTCCAGTACTAATGCTGCAGTACTAGAGCTGCAGGGGATGCTCCGACAGTACGAGGAGGTCGACGAGGAGATCAGCCACCTCGAAAAACGTAGCCGCCGCTGCCGCGACGCCGACAAGGAGCTCGACAGGAGGCTCGAGCGGATGCGCTACTACGTGCTCTCCAACGACGTGAACAAGGAGCTGCGCAAGCAGCAGGGCCCCATCAGGGGGCGCAAGGGTGACATTCCGATAGCAGCGGCAACGTTGGCGTCGGTAGGACCCCATAGCTTTTTAGAGGACAGGCGTCATCGGCGCAATGGGGTCCTAGTCGGCGCTCGCGGTGCCTTGCCCATCGGCGTCTCGCTCCTGCGCGCCTTCAGAGCATCGCAGTCGACGAGGTGGCTCCCAGGATGAGCCTTCGAGAGGAACGTTTGTTCGTGGGGCGTGTTGCCGCGAAGTTGCCACGTGAACTCCGTCCCCGCATAGTGCGGCGCCTTGTCGCCGAGGCGAGGGGTTCTGGCACAGCCGCGCCAGTTACGATTTCTATCGATGATGCTGGCGGCCCTGGCGCTGCTGCTGCTGCAACTTTGGACTCGGTGCGCCTCGTGGAGGCGGCTACCCGCGAGGCTCCCTAGATGCGGCGACGGGCGTCGCGGCTTGAAGAACACCGACGGTGTTCTTGGAATGTGTTGAGTTTCCTTGAAGGCGACTCAGCGCATCACGCTGCCATGCCGCGCCGCGCGCCACCGCATCCTGGCAGCCCCGCCCACCTGGCAGCTCGGAGAGCGGTGGGTGGCAGACCTGCCCAAGCTGCGCTGTCGAGCGATTGGCACCGCCGCGGAGAACGGCGTAGCAGAGCTTCGCATCGTGAAGGACACGCGGCCCAAGGACGCAATGATCCCCAGGGGTGACATGATCAAGTTACCGAACGAGATGTCCAATGTTACGCCTGGCAAGATGGTGGAGCTCTGGCTCGAGATCGTCACCATCTGCGACCCGTACGATCAGATGTACTGGCAAGCTCGTTTAGCGCCCGAGCCAGAGCCAGCTGCCATGTAAATAGCATGGCGTGTGCAAGGCTAATGCCTAGAACTGTTCAGATAAATAACCCTGGGTAGATGTTAAAAGTATCCTACCACCGCAAGGCAGGTGGGGCGAAGCAAAAGGAACTCCCCATGTGCCACGAACCGTGTGAGGGGCGCGCTCAAATGGGGCGGGGCCACCATGCGAACCCTGCCGCTCGACTCAGGTAGAACCCCACATGATGCCACGAACCGTGTGAGGGGTGCGCCCAGATGCGGTGCAACCATGCGAACCCTGCCACTGGGGCATTCGGTGGAGCCCCCCATGGGGCCGCAAACCGTGTGAGGGGTGCGCCCAAATGCGGGGCCGCCATACGGGCCTTGCCACTGGTGCCTTCTGTGGAGCTCCCCACGGTGCCACGAACCGCGTGAGAGGTGCGATCAAGGGCAGCGGCGCGGGGCAGGCGGAGGAGGAGGGGGAGGAGGAGCAGGAATAGGAGGAGGAGGGGGTGAGGAGGAGCAGGAGCAGGAGCAGGGGCAGGAGCATGGGCATGGGGCAGGAGGAGTCGGGGGAGAAGGAGGGGGAGTGGGATGAGGAGGAGGAGGAGGAACAGGAAAACGATGAGGAGGAGGAGAAGGAGGAGGAAGCGGAGGAGGGGAGGACGAGGATGAGGAGGAGGAGAGGAGGAGGAGGAGGAGGGAGGAGGAGGAGGAGGAGGAGGAGAACGAGGAGGAGGAGTTGCACCCTGCCTCCCAGGGTGCCATCCTTCCCCCTGGCCCCTCGGCACACCGCCGACTCTCACGAACCGGCGCGCCTGGCCGAACTTCCAGGAGATGGGGGGGGGGGGGGGGGGCAGAACCGTCGCCAACACCACCAAGGAGGCCTCCTCCAGGCAGGGGGGAGGAGGATGGGGATGAGGAGGAAGATGAGGAGTACGATGAGCAGGGGGAGGAGGAGGGCGAGGCCGAGGACGAGGAGGATGAGGAGGGGGAGAAGGAGGAGGAGCAGGAGGAGGAGGAGGAGGAGGAGGAGCCAGGAGGGAGGCCGAGGATCGAGGATCAAGGATCGAGGATCGCTGTTGGAGGGAAGGGGCTCGGCGTAGGACAGTGGTTAAGCGCCAAATCCGCGTGGAGTGAAGGCCTCGGACATATCTCAACGTAAACCTAAAACAACAAGTAGTGCCCAACCATCCTGTGGCGTTGAGCCCTCGTCTCGAAGAGACGGTGCACCGCGTTCCTCCCTTCTCCTGTCTCCTTTTTCCCATCCTCCCTCCTCAACCTCCTCCTCCTCCTCTGCCTCTGCCACTGCTCCCCGCGCCGCTCGCGTTGGAGCTCTCTGAGCACCGCGATGCGGCAAGAGACCGCATCAGGGCAGCAGCCGCGTGGGCCGCAGGAAAACACATGACTGAGGAGGAGGGTGAGGATGAGGAGGATAAGGCGGAGGAGGGGGAGAGAGGATGAGGAGGAGGAGGAGGAGGAGGAGGCAGGTAGAAAGGCATGAACGACGAGGAGGAGGGGGAGGAAAGGAAAGGAAAGCAAGAGAAGGTAGCAGGAGGTGACAGAAGGAGGGGGAGGGGGTGAGGAGGAGGGCCCTGCCTCGGTCATCCTGCCTCCATCCCCCCCTCCTCCCTCCTCCTCTTCCCCCCCCCCTCCTCCTCCCCTTCCTCCTCCCTCCTCCTCCGTTTCATCGTCCGTGCCCCCCCCCCATCCTCCTGCTTTGCCTCAATCCTCTCATCTCTCCTCCCCCTCCCTCCTCCTTTCTCCTTCTCACCTTCCTCCTCAACGCCGTCTGAACGCTTCTATGGATGTCCGTTTGTCAACCTTGATCCTGCATGACCAACAGCTCGGGGACCACGTCTAAGAACTCGGGGCGGTGCAACTTCACGTTATTGTATGTGTTCTGGTCGGACAACGAAGAGAAGGCCTTCGCGATCACAGTGTTGATCCTGCGCTTGGTCAAGCCGACGTGGAAGTCAAGCGCGCCCTTGATGGTCTTACACTTCGACTTGTTCATATCGAAGAACTCGGAGAAGTGAAAGATGCCTGCGTCGATGATCTCCGCGACCTGGTTGCCGAAGTGGTTCCTCAAGACATGCGCAACGAAGTGCAGCGTGTTCTGGCACTTGTTCCGAACTTTCTTCAGCTGCTCGTTGGACTCCTTCACCGACCTCGCTGGCGCATCCGATCCACCAACGTACTGGCCAACGACGGCAGCAGGAACACCTGCAGCAGCAGCAGCACCCTGTCCTGGAGCACCTGGATCGACAGGTGCATCACCTCCACCACCAGGCGCCTGAGACTCCTCAGCCGCACCAGCCGCAGGCGCTGCACCACCAGCCGCGGGTGCAGCTCCAGACCCAGCTCCATCACCATCTCCTTCGGCTGGACCCTCGCCCTCATCGCCAGAATCGACCTCGAGAATCTTCATCGCCGACGGCGTGATCGGAACTCCGTCGAGGGACTTCCACCAACCATGTAGCATGCCAATGTACACCAACACCAACAATACTTCCATCTTTTTGCCCCTCCACTCACGGTTAGCGTTGATCCAACTAGCCCACCTGCCAATTTTTACTCTGGAGCCTTTGATCGACCAAGCAATGCTATTTTTGACCATGTTCCACACATACTCCTTGTGGTTCTCGGTGCCAATGCCGAAGTCGTCCAGCATGCCCTTCTCTGCGCAGATGTCCTGCGGCTGCTTATGCTCACTCAAATCTGTTCACCCTCATCTTCAGTCCGTCCCCCTCACCCCTCCTTCTCCTCCGTCCTTATCATCCCTCCCCTCCTCCTCCTCCTCCTCCCCCTCCTCCTCCTTCCTCCTCCTCCTCCCCTCTCCTCCTCCTTTTCCTCCTGCTCCTCCTCCCTCCCCCTCCTCCTCCTGGCGGTCCTCGTGCATCATCAAGAACAATGGGCAGGATGGAGTCCGAGTGCTGAAGTACTCATGGGCGGCCTCCGAGATTTCAGCGAAGAACTTGTGGTGGCCGAAGGGGGCAGTCATCATGTTGAACACAACCGTGCGCTCGCTGATGACCGACCACAAGTCGTTCTCGATCAGCGCGCCCTTCATGTCGTTCCAGAAGCGATGCCACTTGTCCTCGATAGATGTACCGCGCACTCCGAGAAAACAATCCATCCAGTGAGTCATCGGCAAGCCGATCGAGCCCTCGTCGAAAGACTTGTGGAGACTCGGCGAGTGGAGCGAGCTGCAACCTTCGGCCCAGTTCAGCTGACGTGGCAACTCCACCCGCGTCGACCCATTGTCCTTGTTCATGATGCAACTCCTGAACCTACTCGTGCCTGGAACCCGCCTGTCCTCTGGAAGTTCAATGATGTATCGAATCTCGTTCGCCGCTAACGGAGCCATCTTCACCTTCGGAATGAAATACTCTAATGACAATCCTGCACTTTTGAGGCCGTCGTCAATAGCGAGTGCCATTTCTCTGTTTGGAATCATCTCAGGAAGTTTACGCTTTTTCAGCTCCTTAGCGGTCATCCGATCTTTTCTATCGAAAAATCTGTCAACAGTTTCGCCTACGTACTTGATGATGTCGCTCCTGCCAGACACCGCGCCTGCAACCCTCAAGCCGCTCTTAAGCCAGTCGGGGAGAACCTGAGGCACGCCGAACAAAAATAACTCAATCCTCAACCTCCTTCTCCTCATCCTCATCCCTCCCCTTTCCCGTCTCATCACTTTCTCCTTCCTTCGCAATCCTCCCCCCCCCCCCCACGGTCTTCAGGAGATCACCAGGGGGGCCACAGGCACAGGAGACCCTCAGGACGCTCTCAGAAGCTTTATTTCCAAGATCCCAGGCGCCGCCCCCAGGTACATGTACCTCGTAGGGGCCCAAGAATCCAAGCCCCCGCAGGCCGCGCGGTACACGTGTACCCCCCGAGGACTCTGGAGGCACGCCTGCCTGTAGCAAACGCAAACGAAAGTACATAATGTACCTCGAAATCTGCGACGAAATCGCTCGAGACATTCGCCGGTACATCGATGTACCTGTGCCCTCGGGCGATGTGCTTACACCCCGCGGGGCCGGCACATATGTACCTGGCGGGGCCCCACGACGGGGCCCCGGTACATATGCACCTCTGGGAGACGAACCAGGTACATGTACCTCAGAGAGACGAATCCGGTACATGTACCTCAATCAAGGAGACGAACCAGGTACATGTACCTCTGGGAGACGAACCAGGTACATGTACCACGAGAGGAATATGAAGAGGAACAACAATAGGAGAAGGATAGGGAGGAGCAGGAGGAGGAAAAGCAGGATGAGGAGTAGCGGGGGGATCAGGATCAGGAGGAGGAGCAGGAGGAGGAGCAGTGCAGGAGGACTATCGTAAGAGGATAAACGCAATCATCCACAACCAATTCCACAAGAGATGAATGCAAGAAAGGTTTACAACAAACCGAAATATGTTGAAACTAGCATGCGATGATAGCCATAAGCTTGCAACATGCTATCTAACATGAATATATTAAGGTCTGGAGATCGTCTAGACGAGTCGATAGTGAGAAGGTGCGCAAACAATTCAAGAACAATGAGTTCAAACATTCAAATCCACTCAGATGGTTCACACTAAGATCCACTCATACTCAGACCCACTTGACGTGCATTCATACTAAGACTTGCTCTATCTCTCTCTCTCCCGGGTTCAGTCATGCCCAGACTCATACTCAGGCAGCCTATGCCAGTTCCTTTCATAAGAGCGGTGTTGGATGGAGGAGGATGGTGGTTTCAAAATTGGAGGGCGCCTGGGGTGCCAGCCATCCAGCAAGGTGTTTGCGAGAATCAACTGCAGCAATAGTAAGAGTTTCTTCCTTAGGCATTCCAACTCGCGATGCATCGAATGCTATCCCCAAGTCTTGGACCATATCGAAGCTAATCACCAGGGAAGCTTTGTACTCAGCCATGTGTCTTGGGATCCAGTCCGCTACAGTACCATCATTAAGGCCCAGCTGAGATCGAGCATAACCCTGCGGCGTAGCGGCCATCCCCTTGCGCATCGCCGAGTGCATGACAGCACTCTTGAAGTCGTCGTCGGTCCGTCGCCTCTTCTGCTTGCTAGTG